GAAGAAGAAGAAAAGGGAGGGAGGGGGTCACAGGCACGGTGGGGGTGGGTGGGAGGAGGAATGGTGCACCGCACAGGGGCCTCAGGATTCCGCGTGCCTGGTGCGCCCACTGCTGTCCTCAGGACACTGGAGGGTGCCTTTCTGACTTGGTATTGTTCCACAAGGACACTGGAAACTAGGGGAGCATGGCGGGGGCAAGGTGGGGGGTGTGGGAGGGGCCAGCTGGCTGCCACTATAATGCACCGCCCTTCAGGTGGCCTCCGAGGGCTGGTGGTCTGCTGAAGCGTCCAGCTGCCCACTGCAGGGCCACACACAACCCAGCGCATTTTCCCACGGGGCAGCTGGCATTTGCAACAGAGGCTCCAAGTGCATGTCTCTCGGTGGTGATCACAGGTACACCGGTGTGCAGACTGCACACAGGTGGACACCTAGAGACGGACTCCTGGGGGCTCCTAGCCATGGACACGGGTGGAGAAGGACACAGCAACCGACCCCAGCGCAGACACCTGCTTGTACCTGCGGATGCATAGACGTGGAAGGAAACTCCAGTGTTGCCCCAGGCTTTCCTCATGCAAGGTGCAGGCCAAGGGGCAAAGAGAAGTGACAAGTTGAGTCCCCGGGGAGTGTCGCCCCTGGGAGCAGGTGGCAGTGTGTGGCAGGTAGAAGGCGCTTGGGCACAGAGAGCCCCAGGGTGCCGTGTGGCCTGGGCCGGAGCTGGGTGCTGCAGGCATAGCAATGACTGAGGAACACGGAGTGGTGCGCAGGCAGCTGGAAGGGGCCAAGGGCGTGTCCTGAGGAGCCGTGCGGGCAAAACACAGAGGGTGCTGGGCGCTCACGAAAGGCCTCTTCGCAGAGGTGCAGCTGTGCCCCGCCCAAGGCTAGGGGCCTGTCAGACCTCCCACAACCTGCCCTTCCCCCAGGGAAAGCCCCCTGGGGGATCTGGCATTCCTGAGAGCCAGGGCCAAGGCCCCAGCACCCTTGAGCGTGGACAGAGGCCTCACTCACACACGCACTTGCCCACATCCTCTCGTACCACCGACACGTGAGCCCCCGAAGAGTTCCTCACACACACACACAGTCACGCACACCCCCCACACCCCTTCACACCAACACTCTCCTTTAGCTCCAACTCCGAGGGTAAGGAGGCTAACCCCCACCCCACGCCACCCCACCCCCGCCAGGCAGTAGGGCCTCAGCACTGCAGTGTCCCCTGGCGCATGGCAGCCTTGAAGCAGGCACAGTGGAACAGGCAGGCTGGCTCCTTAGGGTCTGGAACAGTCTCATAAGCCCCACCCCCTCCTACATACACCCTGTGGCTTCCCACAACCTTGCCAACTTCCAGTTGCACTTCGTGTCACCCCACATTCTGGATGGGGACACGGACGCTCCAAGGGTCACCCCATGCCCTCTGGTTGGTGACCGCGGGAGCATAGGAAGGAGTCGGGCTGCCGGGAGTGTGGCCCCATGAAGAAGGGGTGCTGAGAGAGCATGGGAACATGCCAGCCTTAAAGAAGAAAGAAGACCCCGCGGGGCTGTGTCAGGGAGCCCCTTGGGGACCAGGGCGTGCACTGATCGCTCCGGGGTGTGTTCATTGAACTGATGGCTGTTGCTCCTACATGAAGCCTGTCCTCCGACCCAACCTCAGACACAGGCTGGAGACAGAAAACAAGAGTTGGCCACAGAGGCCCAGATCACAGGGCCGAGAAACAAGTGTCACAGACGTCCCCAGTCACTAGCAGAATGTGGTCCCCAAGCAGCGAAAGACCAGCAGTAGAGGTGGCCCTGTGTGGTTTGAGTCAGCTGAACCCCCGCCATGTGCTCTGGAGCCAGGATGGATGGCCCATGCCTTTTTTTTTTTTAAAGATTTATTTATTTTACTTGAAAGTCAGAGTTACACAGAGAGAACAGGAGAGGCAGAGAGAGAGAGAGAGAGAGAGAGAGAGAGGTCTTCCATCCACTGGTTTACTCCCCAACTGGCTGCAATGGCTGGAGCTGTGCCTATCCAAAGCCAGGAACCAAGAGCTTCTTCCTGGTCTCCCATGTGGTACAGGGGCCCAAGGACTTGGGGCATCTCCTACTGCTTTCCCAGGCCATAGCAGAGAGCTGGATCAGAAGAGGAGCAGCCAGGACTCGAACCAGCGCCCATATGGGGTGCCAGCACTGCAGGTGGAGGATTTACCCACTACACCATAGCACTGGCCCTGGCCCATGCCTATTAAGTGACTCTTGCTACCTGGCCAGCCCCCGCATCCCTAAAGAGAAATGTGGGAAGTTTTGCTAGAAAGTTCTTCCTTATCCCAAATTGTGTCTTCTGCACTAGAAATCCTTAGGGAGGAAGCCCCAGGGAGGCCCACGGCTGGGCTGCAAGTAGGACATCAGACATGGGGTTGGCCAAGTTGCCCAACCCTCCCTGCACCCCTCCCTTCCTGTTGACTCTAGCTGCCCTGCAGTGGCCTGGGCCTGGCTCCTCAGGGACCTTTTGCTGTCTCGGGCTATGGAGCAAGACCCTCCGAGAGGACCCTTGCGTCCGCCCCCTGCCCTTCTTCCACATGTCACCCCACTCTCTCGGCCCTCCTGTGCCTCTCAGCCACCTCCTCCCTCAGAGTCCGGGCTGTTTTCCCCTCGTCTTCCCCACCATGCCTGCCCTTTCCCTGGCTGAGGTCACAGTTGGGCCTCGGGGGCCTGCGTGTTTACCAGCTGCAGCCACATACACACATCCTAACCCCTGGAACTGGAATGCGACCTTATGTCGAAATCAACTCTTTGTAGATATGAAGAAGGTGAGGATCATGTCAAGGGGAGGAGGCCCTGTGCAATGGCAAGCATTCTGTGTGAAGGAGGCCCGGGGGAGCTGGGGGCCCTGTAACCACAGAGGGGCAGATTGGGCTGACTCAGTTGCAGGCAAAGAATAGCTGGAGCCACAAGAAGCTGGAAGAAGCAAGAAGCCTCCTCCCCCAGAGCCACCTTGAATTTGGACTTCTTGCCCGTAGAACCATGGGAGTCCGATTTGTGACTGTTTTTGTCCCCTAGTTTGTGGTCATTGGTGACAGCAGCCCCAGGACATTTGCAGCATCTGCGACAGGGCCACCAGGAGCTGGAGCCCCCAGAGCTGCGCCCACTGCGCACCTTGGACCTCCCAGGCTGACTGGTGTCCACGAGCTCCATGCCCGGAGCTTCTGGTGCACTCTCAATGGTCGGCCACTATGGCTTCAGCCCCCACGCTCTCGCAGCTCTGTGTCCCTAGAGCGGCCCTGCTCCTACCTGGCTGGCTGCCCGGTGACAAGCCCCAACTTGTCTAAACCCCAGCAGTGGACGCGGCTTAGGCTCCCGCTGGGCCCCACTGCACGCAGAGGCACCTGACTTGCAGTTGGGGCTCAGGAACGTCCCCGGCGCAGGCCCCCAAAGCCCACTCCCGCCCCGTGCCACGTGAGCCGCTCCTGTGACTTTTTTGGCTGTGTGCATGGTTGTACGTATGTGTGCGTGCGTGCAATCATGGGTGTCCGTGTGCTGGTGTGTTCCCGCATGCAGGCATGTGTATGTGTGCGCATGTGTGTTGACATGTGCTTACACGTGCATGTTTTCACGGTGCCTGTGCCTGTGTGTGGACAGCTGCCCCTCGCTCTGACTTGCCCACTGCTTGGTGCTCTCAGCCCCCTTGTGGGGAACGGGTGTCACTAGCAGGTAAAACGGCACCCACTCCAGCTGCTCCGTGGTTCTCACCTGCCACCCCCAGCCACTCTGTCCCCATGTGCAGGGCCAGAGGCTGCACCCTCACCCCACCTGTCTTGCCGCTTTCTGATTGGTCCTTATCCTCACGCTCTACAGCTGTGCCACCCTGAGGCACCTGTGACCGAAGCGCGGCCCTGAGCTTGACCCTCCTCGGCGGGCTGCCTGCAGGTGAATGTGTGGGCAGTGGGCGTGTGAGCAGGAACCCGGCTGTTACTGTGGACATCAGTGGGAAATCTGCTCCGTGTCGGCTGTGGGACTACCCTCTGTTCCTTCATAGTGCCCCTGGGAGCAGAGGGAGGCTGTCTTTTGTCTTCAGGCTGTGGTCAAGAGCAACCGCACTGACAACGCAGCATGCTACTTGACCGTGACCCACAAGCCCTCGCAGCCAGGCAGCTCACGGCCTTCGGTCAGGGCCGCATGGGTGCTGCCTGCGGGGTGCCCCCATGTGCAGCACCCACGTGACACCACCGTCCCACTGTGTCTCTGAGCCGCGGTGTGAGGAGGACGGACTTGGGCAAGCTTCCTGAAATGGGAGGGAAAGGCAGGCAGAGAGACAGAGATTCCGGGGGGACTCTGTGGCACCCACAGTGTGGACCCAGCGCCGCAGAGGCACAGGCGGGAGGCTCCATGTTTCCGTGTCTGCCCGGCCCTGGCGCTGGCTGCCACTCCTCCCCGCCAGCGAGGGGACTTGACTGAGGCCCCGACTCCTGGCCCGCGGCCAGTGGCCTTGCCCTCGGCCTGCCCAGCTCAGCAGAGATTGTCAGGCAATGGAGCACATGCCCCAGAATAGTGCTATGATGTCGCCGGCTGACATTCTATCGCTGGGCCGCCACGCTGAGCGGCGCCTCCCATCCCAAAAAGGAGAAACCTGGGGACGCGGGGTACCCTGGGGCTAGGCCAGGCGTCAGGACAACGCCCCTTGCGCAAGACAGAGGGGAGTGCAGCCAGGTCTAGCCCAGGCCACCTCAGCCCACCGGGGCCTTGCTCTGGGCTCTGTCCCCTTCCCGGGCACACCCATGTCTCCAACAAACGGGCTTTCCCGGGGCCCTGTGCACAGCCCTGTCCCCATCCTGTCCGGAGCAGTGGCCTCGAGTGTTGCACACACATCTGGTGTGAAGGGTCCGAGGGGCCCCACAGCCAAGAGGTGCTTGGCAAACGCTCGACCAGGAGACGGCAGGGGCCATCTCAGGCGCAGAGACAAAGCCCAACAGCCAGAGGCACTGCTTTCTGCGCGGTCCGCAGGCCCAGCGCTGGAGTACAGCACACGGAGCCCGCTTGCACAGTGTTTCTTTAATTGAAAGACAACAGCCGACCTCAGAAGCATGGCCTCATCGAGCTGGGGGTGAGGCTCCCTCCCACCAAGCAGGGCCCAGAGACGAGGAGGAGGATCTGCCACCATGGCAGGGCGGGCGGGGTGGGGGGGCAGCCAACGGGAACCACCGCTTGGGACTCTGGCGGGATGTTGGGCCCCCACCTTCCCACCTCTTCCAAGGCTGTCTGGGCTCGGGGCAAGGAATGGGAGGGGCAAGCTGGGGAGGCAGTTGCCCCCGGGCTGGCTTGGACCGGGCTGGGCAGAGGCCAGGAAGACAGAAAGCAGAACCACCACAAGGCAAAGGGTCGATCACGGTGTGTGTGTGAGAGTAAGAGGGAGACTGAGACAGAGAGAGTGAGAGAGAGTGAGAGAGAGAGAGAATGAAGCCAGGTCCAGAAAGATGCAGGGGAACAGATTAGCAAACCCAGAAAGGAGAAAAGATCTAGCACAAGACAGAGATGGAGAGGGAGAGAGACGCTGGTCTAGGGGCCGCTAGAGCAAGGTGCCCAGCTTGGGTAGATGAGCGGGAGGACCATTGTCCTAGGACTGCCGCCTGGGACAGGTGGATTTCAGGGTGAGAGGGGGAAGCTTGGCAGGGGCGCCTCTGAGTGGCTGTGGTGCGTGAGCGGGGGCAGTTGGGCAGCCGAGGGGCCCGTGCCTTGTAGCCACTCTCAGGAAGAGTGGCCCGGCAGACAGAGGCCACAAGGGGGCGGTAAACTGGGAACGCAGGGGAGGCGCTGGGTTGGATGCAGCCAGGCAGGAGCTCCCTTGCTTTGCCTTCCTCCTTCAGGACCTCTGGCCTCGCTCCCCAGAGACCCCAGCGAGGCTACCATGGCAGCTGCTGCGGCTTCTACTTTTTGTAGTTGCCGAACTGGATGGCCAGGCGGTCAGTGACGCAGCGGAAGGTGGCCGGCTGCACCTCCCAGTAGGGCACGGGGTTGTTGAAGAGGCTGATGCCGTTGTAGTAGGCCCGCTTCACCCCGAAGCCCACGGGGCAGAAGTCGTTGACACCCACCTTGGTGATGTTGTTGGAATGCAGATAGACCACCTGTGGACGGAGCACGGCCCAGGCTGCTGTCACGGCCGGGGAGGGGAGTGCACACCCGGGAGGGTCTGGCCCCCTGCCCTCTTCCGCCCCAGCCGCAGCCTCGCAGGTGTCATCGCATCACCTTATACCCACATTGCCCTAGAGGCTTCTCTCCTGCATCAGGAGGAGAAAATTGAGCCCGGGGCCCCGGCTGGGGGGTGGGTTGAAGGTAGAAGCTTGGTGGGGTGCCGTAGGGCTGTACTGGGTGGAATGAGGCTGTAAGGGCTGCCTTGAGTCGAGGGGTTGGAAGTGCTGTGAGGACTACCGAGACAAGGAAGGAAGGCACGCTGAAGGCGCTTTGTCTCTAGAGTGAGAGGTGCTGCCCTGCGGGCAGCCCTTACAGCCTGCTGGACCTTCAGAACAACGACATCTTGCGTGGGAGGCGGAGTCAGGAACCCAGTGGTGCTGAGGAGGACGCTGGCCGCTAGAGGGCGCGCTCAGCCCGGCTTGCGCCGCACTGTCCCAGAGCTGGGCGGGCCAGAGGCAGGACACAGCCAGATGGAGGAGGAGAGCACTCCAGTCGTGTGTGATGGGGCTGAGGGAGAGGTGGAGGCCCAAAGCAGGGCTGAGCGAGCCCAAGTTCACCCATGTGCTGCAAGCCAAGGCCTTGGCCCTGAGGGAGGGGCCATGGGGACTGCTCCTTTCCCGGGATGGCCAGGGGAAGCTCTGTGGACTGTGCCTTGAAAAGCAGGGGCCGGGAGCCCAGGAACAGGTCCTGGTCCTGCAGTCCTCTGGTACCTGGCAGCCAAGGGTCCCTTGCTACCTCCCCCTGCCTCCCCTCACCTGGAGGAGCTTGAGGTCGGGCAGCCCAGCAGGCACCCTGGACAGCTTGTTGTTGTCTAGATGAAGCTCCCGCAGGGTGGGTAGAAAGCTCAGGCTCCCGTTCTCAATCATCCGGATCTGGTTGTGGCCCAGGCCCAGCCTGCAGAGGTGCACACGAGGCGCAGTCAGAGGCTGGAGGGGGAACAAGGCAGTGTGTGGGGCCATTGTGCTGCCCCTCCCTCTGGGCTTCCGGTCCCACCTGTACAACTTGGAGTATCGGAGCAGATCCTCCAGCTCGATGGCTTGAATTTTGTTGTGGTCCAGATGGAGTTCATTCAGGGTCTCTGGCAGATCTACCCAGAAGTGAGGGAATACTGAGGTGAACATGGGCGCCAGGGCAGGTGCAAAGGCCTTGAAGCAAGTGCCTCTTTCCTACCTTTGGGGATGCCAGTGAGCTTGGCTTCTGAGATGCGCAGGTAGTTGAGCTTCAGGCCATCAAAGGCTCCAGGTTCAAAGCCACTGTTCTCTAGGGGGTTCCCGCCCATCTCTGGTAAAGACAGAGAGAGACTCCATCAGCCCAGGAGCTGGTGGCTGCCTACAGCCCCCTGGAGCCTGGTGTTTCTGGGCTCAGGCCCACGTGATGGGCCCTGCTGATGGCCAGCTCTGCCCAAGTCCTCCTGAAAGCCAGTACAGCAGTTTAGAGGGCTAATTGCAAACTCCTAACTGGTCAAGGCTGCTAGCCTCAAGGGCCTTGGCCCTGGCATTGGCTTCCAGGGACAGAGAGGGACAAGAGGAGAGAAGCAAGCCAGAGATGCTGGCAGGTCTGGCTGCCCCAGTTCTCCCGCCTTCCCCTCTGTCCCGGTGCAGCGGTCCTGCACGCTGCTTTTTTGGCCTGCATTGGGGCTGTGCTGAGATTCTGTGCCTTTCCTTTGACCATTCGGAGGACTATTGCTCGAGCCAACGCTTTGTAGCTGGCCCTGGTCTCCCTTCACCGGGCTTTGAGATAAGCTTCTGGAATGTTCCCCGGGCTCGCCCATGGCCCCTTCGCCAGGACCCCGGCCTGCAGCCACACTCACCGATGCAGTTCATGTTGCGGAGCCCACTGAACACGCCCTTGGGCACCTTGCGGATGCGGTTGTCATGGATGCGGAGCTCCACCAGAGAGCTGGGCAGGTTGGGCGGGATCTCCACCAGGTGGTTCTTGGAGATGTAGAGCTTCTGCAGCTTCCGCAGCGGGCTGAAGGCCTTCTCGTGGATCTTGGTGATCTTGTTGTTCACCAGGACGAGGGCCTGAGGCACAGGAGGCGGGAGGTGAATGTCTGCTCCCCGGTCCACCCCGGCCCTTGCTCCCTTCTTCCTTGTGGGCTGGGCACCAGACTGGGAGCCAGCAGGGCCAAGAAGGGCGCTGAGCTGAGAGCTGCTGGTCCCGCACTTGCGGCTGCTCATGCCCCAGAACCCCGGCGGCTGGCACCACGGTTGGTCCCTGCACAGCGCATGCATCCGTGCACATGCACCCGTAGGGACTCATTCCCCTCCCCCCCAGCCCCTTGGGAAGAGCATAGCGGGCCGGAAGGGGAGGGGCTCACGTAGAGGTGCTGGAGGCCCTTGAAGTCGTCCTTGCGGAGCTCGGAGATGTCGTTGTTCTGAAGGTCCAGCAGTGTGGTGTCAGGCGACACCTCCTTGGGCACCGTCTTCAGACCTGGGGTGGCACACACAGGGTCCCTGATGTGATCCCGGGGACTCAGCTGCTCCCTCGCATCGCGCCTGCCCGCAAACCTGAGCGGGCTCACTCACCCTGTGCCCCTCCCCCACCCCGCATCCCACAGGACGCACGCACTGCCCAGGGTACTGACCCAGGTCAGAGCACTGAACAACCCGCAGGTGGCAGTGGCACCCAAAAGGACACATGGAGCTGAAGGTGGGCGTGAGGGCGTCCAGGTCGGGCACGCCCGAGGTGCTTTCGGCGCCCGAAGCCTCTTCATCATTCATCATGAGCAGCCCGTCGTCCAGGGCGAAGTCCCAGAAGCCTTTCTGCTCGAAGGGCAGGGCCTGGCCCAGGGCCAGCAGAGCCGCAAGGAGCCACAGGGGCCGCATGGTTGACGTGGTACCTGGGAGGAAGCGTTCTTCACTGAGCACTCCACACATCCTGGGCGCCCCCTCCCACCTGCCCCTCCCCCAACCACCGCTTGTCAGCAGCTGGCATGCAGTGCATGATGGGTCTGTGGCCCTCGCTTCTCCGCAGACATAGCCAGCCCCGGGGCAAGCGAGAGGTGGCAGCAACCAGTGTGAGCAGGAGGCAGCCAGCACACAGGATACCAGACGGCGCCTCTGGGGGTAGGGGTGGGAAGCCAGCAAGGCTGAGTAGCTGAGCTGGAGGGCAAAGCCCTCGAGGGCCACCCTGGGCCACGGCTGCTGGGACTTCTGGGCTGGGGGCCAGGGGGCTGCAGTGAGCGAGGGAGGGTCTGGGTCTCATGCTTTCCTTGCTGCAGGAAGGGAAGACTGTCCTTTGAGGCCAGGGGCGGGATCAGCTCTGAGCAGGGGGGTCTGGGCTGGAGGGGGCACGGCGCCGTTCCCCCTCCCCCCCCCCAGCTTGTTCCTGAGGCCTGGGCTTCCTCCTCTGGACGCCAGCCTCCGCCGGGATTGACCTGCAGAGCCTGCAGCTTCCAGCTCTGCTCCTGCCCTTCCTTGGTGCCTCTAGCCCGGCCCCTGGAGGGGCCCTGCGAGGAGCAGGCTGCCGCCTGGGTGGCGGGCAGGGTCAGGCTTGCTGGAGACCCCCCAGGATGAGGGAGGCAGCAGGGTGGGGGTGGAGCGGAAGCTGCCCTGCCCGAGCCTGCCCCAGCACCCACCTCTGCCTGCCTCCTGCCTCCTGGTTCAGACACTGCCCTGGCCTCTCCTACCACCCTCACCTACCCTGACCCCTCTCCCACCCTTGGCAAAGTCCCAGGTTTTGTCCCTGCCTCATTTTCCCCATCTGTTCCATGGGAAGAAACATGTCTGCTGGGGGTCTGGGGCTGCCCTGGATACCTCTGTGGACAGGAAGCCCAGCGAGGCACCGAATCGCCACAGCCCAGTGAGTTCCCCACTTGGGGCCCATCTGAGCAGGCAGACCCAGTCCGCAGGGTGAGGGGGCAGGGGGCTCAGCTGGCCACTGGGGCCTGCAGCTTCAGAGTCTTCGCCACCAGCAGGCTGTGGGCTTGAGGCCAGGCTTGGCCGGGTCTCGGTGTCTCGGCACAAGCACTGTACCTCCGGATCCCATCAGTGCCAGGGCTGTTTCTCCGGGGCCCTGGAGGTGCATCGGCATGTGGCTTGCCCCAGTGCCCTGCTGGCCCCTGCGCCCGGACACAGGGGTCCCTGGAGAGGCTCCAGCTGCCCCCCCAAGCCATGGCTGCAGATCCCACAGCAAAGTAGAGGGCAGAGCTCAAGGCTCAGCTCCACTTCCCTCTCACTTCCCTCGCTCCTGGGAGCCTGCGTGATCCACCCCCAGCTGCGGGGCCCAGGCTGGCTCAGGGCGAGTGGGGCTGCCCCGGGGAGCCCTCGGGTGTTGGCCGAAGCTTAGGTAGAAGGAGCCGTGCTCGCCTACCCGGATGGTGATTCCCTTCTTCTTCCCCTCAGCTGGCAACCTCCAGGGCAGGGCGGGGCAGGGTCTCCTGTGCCCCTGCCTAGTTGCCGCTGGATGGCGAAGCGCTGGAAGAAGGAGGAAGAGAGGCCGAGGCGGAGAGGAGACGCAGTATGGGAGCGAGTGAGGAGAGGCCGGCCCGCGCCGCCCCTGCCAAAGCCACTACCTCCCAGGGGAATGAGTCAGGGCTGGGAGGCCGCAGGGCCCTGGGAGGCTCTGCGATTTGCAGCCCACCTGGACGGGTGGGGGTGGGCTGGGCTGGGCTGCCAGGCGCAGGGGAGGCTGCAGGGAAGGGCCAGTGCAGGCAGGCCTTTTGCAGCCTGCCCGGGGCGGGGGCGGCCTGGAGGTCTCCACGGGACACCCCTCCCTAGGCCTCAAGTCTCTTGAGATGACCGGGAGCTGGGGCTCCCCCTGGGCACTCTGGGAAGGTGGGCAGCCTGCTGGCATGCTGCGAGGCCAGCCAGGGCAAGACTGGAGGAGCTCATCAGAGCCTTCCTGGGAGCCGGGGCTGTCCAGGATGTGTGGCAGTAGCTCGAGTCCAGTGTCCTTGTCGTGAACCTGGGTGTCCCCAAGGGGCTGAGAGGGGTCCAGGGTAGAGGCTGGCTCTCGGCCTACCTCTGAGTTCCAGCTCTGGCTCACCCTGAGGGCGGAGGGAAGCTGAAGGCAAGGCTTGGCCAGTTTTCCACGGCTCCTAGCTGGTGGGCTGGGGGCTGGCCGGGCTTCCCAGTAAAGGTTTCATTTCCCCTTAGACACGGAGCCAGCAGGGGGTGGCAAGGGATGCCAGCAGGGCCAGAGGGAGCTGGGGGAGCCCAGGGGGCACAAGCACTGGCCCCATTTTGTGGATGGGAAAACTGAGGCCTGGAGTGAGGAGCTGACTTGCTCCGACTCCGTCAGCTTGAGACTTGGAGCCCAGCTTTGGGGATTGCAGGCCTGGAACTTCCTGGCCTCAGCCCTGCCCTGCCTCCGCCCTGGCCTTCAGCAGTGGGGGTGCTGGCGGGTCTCCGGGCCTGGATGGCTTAGAGAGGATGAGGTGGTAGCTTAAGGACACTGCCTACACCTCACACTGAGCCCCAACCCCGCCACGTGTACACACACACACACACACACACACACTGGGACACCCACACCCTGCACTTTTTTCCTTCCTTGGTCTTCCGGGATGTATCCCCAAGGACTCAGGGGCGCCTTGAGCCTCATCAAAATGTGCCCTGAGCTCGCTGGCAGCCGCCTCCTCAGAGCAAAGGAAAGAAGTGGTCTCGGCGGCCCGTGCCAGCGCGGCGGCCGCAGGTGTGAGTGAGGGCAGAGGCCGGGCCTCCTGGAGCCTCGGAGCCGCCTCAATAGGGCCCTCCTTGTCTGGGCCTCTGAAAGCCAGTGCAGTTCTGCGGGCTGATCGCTCCAGGTTACAGCCCAACAAGACGTGCTGGCAGCCTCGGAGAACACGCAGGGGCCGTGCCAGGCATTCAGGCCAGGCCAAGGGCGGCGGGAGCAGGGTTTGAGGTCTGGCGGCTCCTGGGAGCTCGTCTGCAGATGTGCGCTGGCAGCTGCGCGGACGCGGACGCCCTGCTCGTAACCTGACCTGACCTCTGACACACGTGCTGTCTTCCCCCGGCCCCGCCAGGCTTCTGGGCCTGCAAGGCTGGGAGACAGGTGATGCTGCCCCATCTCCCTCTCTCCCCTCTTTGCCTACCAAAGTCTTCTGGGCCCAGCTTCAAGTAGCAGAGGGGTGCCCGGGCCCTGCCTGCCATCCCACCATGCCCCAGAAGGCTCTGCACTCATGTGTGTCTGCGCTGGTGGGAGGGGTGGAGACCCGGAGGCCATCCCCCCATCTGCATGCTGGCCGCCCCCTGGATCCACGGCCATTGCAAGGGAGGCAGATGCCCCAGCTCCTCCCTGCTGTGGCCCTGGCACTGCTGGGTAACCAGACGGAGCACTGGAGAAGCAGGCTAGACCTGGAAGGGGTTTCCTGGTCCCCCTGCACTTGGGCCGTGTGCTCTCCCTTCTTCTCCCATTTCCTGGCCTCCACTCACCATGTTCTAGACTCTTCCAGGAAGAGGGAGGGTGCTGTCACCTCCCAAGGGTGGGGTAGGGACTCAAGCGATTTCTTCACCTGACCCTACCTCTACGCTGTTGACCATAAGAAAGAAGCTATGATCCGAACACCAGGGCGCAGAGAGGTTACCCAGAACTCTTGTCCAAGGCCACACAGGGAGGACGTGGCGGAGCTGGGACTCCACTGTGCATCTGCCTGCCTGCCTGCCTGCCTGCCTGCCGAGCGAGGACAGCGGCCAGGCATCTGGAAGGCTGGGGAGCCTTCCCTCTCCTGGGCCCGGGGTTTCCCTGCACCCTCCTCTGTGCTGGCTTTTACTCTCTGCCAGGGGCTCTGGCTGGGGTGGGACCCAGCCCTCTTTAGCCAGCTGGAGAGGCCCAGGAGGTGAGGCCTCCCAGAGCTACCAGGGCTCCTATGGGTGCATGCCTCCCTGCAGTCAGGAAGCCCCCGATGCCCGTGGGAAGGTGTTCAAGGCCAAGCAGGGGTGCTCTATCCCTCTCCTTCAAGTCTCACTTCTGGTCATGAAGTTCCCAATCCCGGCGCCACCCAGGCCTCTGCCTGCTATATTCCCTTGGCCAGAGACCAGAGAGCTGGCAGCTTGTGAGGGAGAAGCAGGGGCAGGTTCAAGAGTTACCCAGGGGCCTGCACTTTGGTGTAGCTGGTAAAGCGGGCCACCTGCAGTGCCGGCAATCCATATGGGCGAAAGTTCTAGTCCCGGCTGCCCCACTTCTGAGCCAGCTCTCTGCTGTGGCTTGGGAAAGCAGTAGAAGATGGCCCAAGCCCTTGGACCCCTGTATCCACATGGGAGACCCAGAAGAAGCTCCTGGCTCCTGGCTTCGGATCGGCGCAGCTCCGGCCATTGAGGTCAATTGGGGAGTGAACCAGCAGATGGAAGACCTCTCTCTCTCTCTCTCTCTCTGTCTCTCCTTCTCTCTGTGTGTAACTCTGACTTTCATATCAATCAATAATTTTTTTTTTAAAGAGTCGCCCAGAGTCTTGGCTTGGCCCCTGCCCCATGTCCTCCAGCTCAGGCCACGCTGGTCTGTGTGCAACAGGAGAGTTTGATATAAGGAGGCTGGGGAGAGCCCCAGGGGGTGGAGAGCGGGGTTGGAGCTGAGCAGGCGGGCAGCCTACTGCATGTGGATGACCCGAGGCTGGCGGGCTCTGGGGGAGAAGGTGCCCTACACGGCCATCCCAGGGATTAGTCTATCCCAGAGCAGTGAGGAGAGTGGGGGAAGAAGGCAAATGCACGGGGCAGGGGGAGATGGGGTGGTTCCCAGGAGCCTGGGGGCCTGGAAGTAGGACAGGAGGCCCCTGGGAGCCGTCTGGCTGGGGGCACCAGTTGTGAGAAGGAACCTGCCCTTCTGCAGGGAAGGCTGGGATGCTGGTTCTTCCTGCTGGGCTGGAGAAAGGCTCAGCCATGCCCACCCAGCACCCCACGGCCCACAGCAGCGTGCCCCAGAAGAGCCCCCATCACCTTCCACCAATGGGCCACAGCGTGTGTAGGGATGGCTGGTCAGCCTGGAAGCAGAAGGGAGGTCAGCGTGGGCCTAGGAAGACCTTTGTCAAGGTCACAGGTGTTGTGGTGGGTAAGGAAGGTGACAGGCTGGTGGACGGGCTTGGAGCAGCACAGGGGGTGGAGGCCGGGGGACTGCCTCCCTGGAAAGAGTGGGACCAAGGACAAGGGCCTCCTGGGTCAGGCCCCTGCACAAGGTGAAGGAGGGCCAGTGCTGAGTGGGCCCAGGAAACCCAGGAGACAGGGAGGGGGTCCTGTACTGGCCCCAGCCACGCAGAGGTCACGGCGACCACTGCAATGTCACGGACAACACCCCTTCCTTCCACCCTTCCCCACTTGCAACCCTCCAGCTGTTGTAAGTCAATGCCCGTGACTGCACCTGAGAACAAGCTGGCATGGGACTGGGCCAAAGTGCTCAAGGCCGCTGGGATCCAGGGGGCTTAAAGACAGGCCAGGGGTGCTCCCACAACAGGCCAGCCCCCCGCCCCCCACGCCCCACTGCTCCAAGCCCGCTCCCGCTACCCAGTCCTGGCGGCTCAGTGGCAGCCCCGGGTCTTCCTTCCCAGCAGCCATACATGGGCATGTTACACACCAAGGTGCCCCTTGCTTGTGCACCAGCTCTCCTCGGAGGCGGCTGGCACTGAAGGTGCTCACCTGCCCTCCCGGATGCGGGTCCCCCAGGAGCCTCCCTGGTCGTGAGGGAGCCTGTGAACATCTCCAACTTGTGTCAGTGCAGGGCGGAGAGCTGGCAGGCCAGGGAGGGGTGAGGGCAGAGGCAGGAGCCCGCACACGGTGGGCGGGAGTCGCTTGATGGCTCAGGAGAGGGGGCTTCCTGCTCCTGTTCAGCAGAACTGGGCAGGGCAACCCTCACTAACCAGGGGCCAGGCATGCGGGCACTCAACTTGGGGTGCTCCCTCCCCCAACCTCCCAGGCCGCTCAGGGGACACCCGGACAGCTCGGTTCTCCTTCTCCTGGGTCCTGCTCCCCTCCTCCGATCATTCTGCATTCCAGTCTAAGGGGGTTCTGGGGGACAGATAGGACTGAGCCACTCAGGCAACCCTACTCAGGGCCCCTGCCCACAGGGCTCCATGGACCCACACCCCGTTCAGGGGGAAGTAGAGGCAGGGCATTGGCCTGTGAGCGAGCCAGAACCATCTGGGCAGGGTGCCTGGGGCGTGCCTGGGAAACCAAGTCTCGCAGTCCGTGCCAAGCACGAGCCACAGGCAGTAGGGGCTGCTTCAGAGCACTGAGCTCAGCGGGTGCCCAGGGCGGGGAAGGCGCCAGGCCCAGCGAGGCCGGCACAGTTGAGGGCGCCCCTGGGGCTTGCAAGGAAGGGCAAGGTCATTGGCAGAGGTGGGGTGCTAGCCGCGCAGCCATGCCTCGGTGATGCTCCCGGCAGACAGACTGGATGGGACAGAGTAAGGTCAGAGTGCAGAGGCAAGGGTGGGATGAGGGAAGGCACCTGGGGGGGGGGCGGGGAAAAAGAGGCGGAAACAGGATGAGGACCAGCGGAGCTGCAGGGTGGCGGTGATGGGGCAGGGACCGTGAGCCTGCAGCGGATGCCTTGGAAATCTGAACGGGGCTAGCAGGCGGCAACAGGGCAGGACTGAGGCAGCGGAGACAGTTTGAGGCCATTGTGGGGACAGTGGGGACAGTGTGGAGCTGGCGCAGGGTTGGGGGGGCCCTACCTGGGGAGGGGAAGTGGCCAGGCGCAGGCCGGCTAGGTGGCGGGCTGGGATGTCAGGCTGTCCGTACTTCCGTCCGTC